GATTTTGTCAACATCCCGGTCCCTGGCTTCTCTATTTAATGTGTCCCGGTAAATTCCAGATCCTTTTCGGGATTTTAACATCTTTTTTTTCTCTCACAACGTTGTGTCCAAGCTGTGCTTTCGGAGCGATGCTACCGGAGGTACGGTATAAGAGCTATGCTATCAGAGCGTAGCATTCAACATGGCCGCCACGTCCCACAATGCAACGTGGATCCCGAGCCCTATGATTAATTCATCCCTAGAAAGTAAGGCACCAATGGAGGCAACATAAAACTAGTTTGTTCTGATCCAGTTCAGCTTTGTGAGTTATCAGATTCTCCTTCTACTGTTATGTTAGATCTATTTCCAACCAAGTATTTAAGAACCTGTTCCCTCTAATTTCCACCTTTATTTTAGATTTGATCATTTTATCCCTGCTTCAGGGCAGGTCAGACCTGTTCCCTGCTGCACCCGCCTGTAAAGGTGAGGAGAGAACCAGGCAACAAGGTGAAGCTCCTAATTTAGGGGTCAGTCTACGTTCCTACCCTCACCTGTGCTCATTAATCTGGATCATGACCTAAAGAACCAGATCCTGGATACCAGCAGCTGAAATGAGCCGTCTATGGACGGTGAGTGGGCTCTCCCTTATGGAGAGGAGCTCAGTCGTTCAGGAGAGGCTCTGAGTGGAGCCACTTCACATCAGGAGGATTCAGCTGTTTGGACGCCTCCCTCAGGTGTTCCAGGTACGTCCCACCAGGAGGAGGCCTCTGGATGTCTGTCAGCTGACCTAGGAGCGCCTCGTCTGAGGGAGGTCTCTGCTGAGACGGCTGCCCCCGCTACCCGGTCCCAGATAAAGTCCCTCAGGCTTTTAACATAAACTTTAACTCAGGAAACCTCTGGATCCAGTTGATTTGGTCAAAAACAGACCTATGATCATCTGGGAATTATCAGACACCTGAATAGAAAAACCTGATCAGTTACGACATTATTTAATTCGCCTTCAGGGTCCATAAAGGATTCCTGGTTTGAATTGAATGTTTTTCCAACAGACGTTCAGACTGAAGACAGAAACATGAGACCAGACAGCTTCTGGAACAGGAAAACTCTTTATAAACGTATCAAAAGTAGAAACATCTCTATGATAAAACAGAAACACGCAAAGGAAAAGTAAGAGGAGGCGAGCGGTAGTCCTCGTCCTGCCTGAGTCGCTCCTCTTCCAACCGGACCGAGTTCAGTTCTGGGAACTGGGATCCACAGGACTTTAGTGAGCTCTGATCAGTAGCATCAACACTCTGAGGTAGAAACGTTTGGACCTACAGCTGCTGGAGAATCTGCTCAGAGCTGAGGACTCCATTACCCAGAAGCCCCAGCTCTACTTGGTTTGGCACTTTTTTCAAACACTGCATTTATCCTTACAAACTGTGAAGTCCAGCTCAACAGTAAGAATCTAACTCCATGGTTCCATCTTCATCCTCAGACTCCTCATCCTCCTCCTCATCCTCCAGCAGGCAGGGGAAGCAAGTGCGGAAGGGCGGAGTCACCAGCAGGTGGCAGTCTGTGGAGCGTAGGCGCTGTAGACCGCCGGGGGGCCGGAACCTCAGGCCCCGGCAGACGGTGAGGCGCTCCAGGTCAAGCAGCAGAGTCACCAGCTGGGAAACACACACAGCTGTTAGCATCTGTTAGCATTCTGAGGCTAACATGTTCCACCTGTGAACCCATTGCCATGGAAACCAACAGAAGGGCTTGTTTTCTCCTCTGAAGAAACGTTCAACCTTTTTATCAATCCTGTCAGAACAAAACCTCGGGCCGTTTCTCAATTCACAGGAACGCGAGTACAGACTTGCGTTCTAGTGAATTGAGAAACAGTGCAAATTTTTTCACGCTGAAGGGTGCTAAAATATTTGCACATTGACTCTCGTTAACAGTTGTCCATGCGCAGTAGCTCCTGTGCAATACAGAAGTAGAGAGCTGCGCCCTCAGGTGGTAGGAAGTGTCATCACAGAAAGTGCAGGTGATTGACAGGCCGAGTCGCCTTAAAGCAAACTTACCAAGAGAATCTGGAGGTGAAACAGTTTGGACCTGATCAGTCAGACATCAGAATTAAACAGCAGTCCAAAGACAGACGGAGACTCTGTCTTTTTCCAGGACCTGGTTTAGCTCCAAGGCTAGGCCAACTGCATGCAGCGAGGCTAACTGCGTGCAGAGAGGCTAACTGCGTGCAGAGAGGCT